TGATGGGACACCTGCATGGTGTTTGGGGCTTGGAGTACCACTTCCGAACAATACAACCAATGCACAACAAAGTAAAATCAATGAGATTTTTCAAAAATTAACTGCCGAACAAAAGGCTGTACTTAATAATGTGGACTACCTCGCACAAAAAGACGGTTCACTTTTAGCGTATGCTCAAGCTCAACATGCGACTTACTTGTTACTTGATGAAGCAGGGGTTTCTGAAAATCAAACAAAAGATTTGATTGTAAAAGATAACACGCTTTTAGATGACGCTGATAAAATTAAAACAGGAGCAAATGACTTAATTAATCAAGCTAAGAAAATGCGTGAACTACCTAGTTTTAATGGCTCTACAATTGATTTGATTCAAGGTGTAGAAAAACCAGTTACAGACACAAAATCAGTTCTTCCTAATTTTCCTTTCGTTAAAAATAATGTTCAAGGTTTAACTGAAAGTGTTTCAGGAAATGTTTTAAAATTAAAAGCTAATATTACAACTAAAACTGGAACCATTTTAAAGGCATTGCAATTCCAAAATACTGCACAGTCTACATCAGAGTTACCATGGTATGTTTTTTCAACAGATGGAGATGAAACAGGGAAAAGCAGTCAATCAGTTTCAGCCAGTCAAGACCCTTCAAAAGCAAATGCTTTGCTTAATATAAATGTTATCGGACTTGGTGAAGCAAACCTTACAAAAGCAGATGCTGATACTGGTAGCGGTGAAACACAAGGGGCTGCACACTTAAAAGGTGCAATTTTTGGGTTGTTTAATAAATCAGATATTTCACCTGTCAAATGGTCTGACGGTCAAAAAGGATATCCTATTACAGTTACTGCTGGTACTAAAGCAGATGATACCAATGTTTCCTTTAAACTTGGAGATGATTTGAAAGCAGGATTGAAAAATCTTGATAACTCAAAAGAATATTATTGGAAAGAAACCGTTGCTCCTGAAGGTTATAGCTTATCAACCGAAAAATATGAAGTCAAATTTGATTCATCAAGTAAATTTGATGATAAAACATCAAACTTTATAGATGATGATAAAGCGACTGATAAAGTCCTTGACTTCAATTTTGGATTTATCAAAGCGCAAGATGTCAATGGTTCATTGACTGGTTTAAATGGGCGTACTTTCCGATATACTCCTACAGGAGATACTAAAGGAAAACCAATTGAAGTGACTTCAGGGGCAAATGAAGATTCTAACGGTGTAACGAACAACGGACAAGTTAATTTCACCAAAATTCCGTTTGGTGACGGACTTCTTGAAGAATTACCACAAGAAGGTGATACCCTTCAATTAATCAATCCAATCTCTATTGTTACTACAACAAATAAAGATAAGGACGGAAATATCACAGGATATACAGTAACATTTACTGATACTGTTACAAAACAAGTGATTACAACGCTTGATGTTTCGTTGGATAAAGTAACTGATAATTCTACAATGTTCAAAGTTAATCTTGGAACTTTGGTAGATAAACCAGTTACTCCTGTCGTGCCAACCATTAAAACAAAGGCACATACCAAAGATGGCGACCAAACGATTCAAAAAGTCGAAATTTCCAAAACAACTCCTCTCTACGATAAAATCATGACAACAAATGCTATAAAAGGCGACCAAATGGTGGCTACACTTCACCGTGTTGTGACGGATAAAGACGGAAAAGTGACAGAATCAAAAGTTATCCGTACTTTGAATTTCACGGTTGATGATGAAACGGTCAAAGCACAAGAAAAACAAATTGAATCTACTGTTGATACAACAAAAGACGCTGATGTTCCTGAAACTTCAACCGTTACTTATGTTTGGACTGAAGATTTGTTTGATGAAGGAAAAAACCCTAAAACAGATGAACCAAAAGCAAAACATGATGATTTGAAAGACCAAGACCAAACGTTGACAGTCGAAAAAGTCAAAAAACCAGTTACTCCACCAAGTTCAACAACTCCGTCAAGTTCAAAACCTACTACTCCAAGTACCACTCCTACACCAACCCCTAAAGTTTCATTACCAACTACAGGTAGTGAAACAGGAGATATGATTATGTATGGTGGTGCGTTAGCAGTCTTAGTCGCTCTTGGTACTGGTGCTGTTTATTATATGAAAAAGAAAAAATCAGCTAAAGAAGAAGGTGGATAAATTGACCTATGAAAAAGCGTGGCGAATACTTGAAAGACAGGCTCGTCAATTCTTTCTAAAATCACAAAAAAGACAAACAGGTGAAACAAATGAAGATAAACTCCATGATTTTATTAGAGAAAAATTTGAGATTGTAGAATTTGATGAAGATGTGATTATTTTTTGTGATGAATATGAGCAAACTTATGAACATGACATTGTTTAAAAAAGAGCAGATTTAATTATCTGCTTTTTATTTTGGGTGAAAATGGAAAATAAAAAAATAAGTCAATATCAACTGCAAGATATGGAGAGAGCAATCTCAAAACATATTGCAGTTAAATCAAGAACTCCACCAATTAGTAAAAGGTTTTATGGTTTTAAAAAGGAACTGTTAACTACTAAATGGTATTTGGAAGATGAAAAGACACTCTTAGTTATGTTTTATCATGATGGATTAGGTGTCACTTCATATCAATTTTATAAGAAAAGTAAGTGAAGATGAAAATAATCAAAAAAGCTGAAATGCCTGACGGTACAAGAATACAAATTGAAGATTGGAACAAAGATTATCCTAGATTTTATCCAACTTCATCAATTATTGGTTGTTATCCAATAGCTAAAATTTCAGATAAAAAATGGATAAAATCAGGAAAAACTTTTAGATTAGCATTAGATTTTGAAAGCCCTGAAGAAACTGAAAGAGCGTTTAATAGTTTATGCTCTGGCACTAGAAATATAATTGATTTTAAAAACCATTTTGAAGATAAAAGAGATATTCAATTATTAATGGGGAGTGAAATGTAAAATGTACGTTGTAAAAATGCGTGGTGGCTATCTTTGTGCCAATGGTGGAGCGACTAAACACTTAAAATTTGCTACCACTTTTGATACTAAAAAGAAAGCTGAAGAAGTGGCTGAAAAATGGTTAAGAAGTGATGTATCTTTTAAAGCTGTTGAAAAAGAAGGTGAGGAATATGAGCAAAATTAAAATATTAGATTTAGCTAATAAACTAGGAGTTGATAGAAAAGAATTACTCTCTAAGGCTCAAGAATTTGGAATTCCTGCTAAATCTACAACTAAAACTTTGAGTGACGCTGAAGTATTAAAACTAGAAAATTTCTATAAAAAATCAGATACTCCAGAAGTTGTTGGCAAAGAAGAACCTGTAGTGGAAACAAAAGTTTCAAAAACAACTGAAATTCCTGAAAAAAAGAAGTCTAAGTTTTCTCTCCTTGCAGGTAGAAAGCCTGAAAAGAATAAGCCGAAAATGTTAAGGAAGTTGCCAAATGAAACACCGCCTAAGTTTAAAAGGGTTTCAGCTAAACAGGTAGGGACTTTGGTTGTGGGTGGGGTCGGTTTCTTAATATTGTCAAACGTGGTCTTGTTTGGCTTAATGGCAAGCGGTTATAGACCTACTCAGAAAATTATTCACGAAGAAGTGAGTGCTACGCAAAAGGCTTCAGGTAATGGACTTGATTTGCAAGCGAAAAATTATCTTGACGGTTTTGTTCAAACATATTTCACATTCCCTGAAGATGAAAAAGAACAAGAAACAGCAGTTAAAGATATTAATGCTTATTTTGTTCAAAATCTGCCAGTGATTAGTCAAGGTATTCAACGTACACCTTCCAAATTTGAGGGTGCGGTCATGATGAGTTTGACGGATAATGAAGCGACTTATAAAGTGACTTATAGTGCAGGTGAAGTCACAACAAAAGAAGTCAAAAAAGGAAAAGATACAACGAAACAAAATGTGGTGAAATATCATGATGAAACAACTTTGTTTACGATTCCTTACCAAAAAGTAGGTTCAGCTTACTATATTTCAGATGAACCTTATTTTTCAAGTGTTCCTGATTTACAGGCAACTGAAAATCAAGTGCCTACTAAAACATGGTCAGGTACTGATAACAATAGTGCTTCAGTCAAAAAAGATTTAGACAAGTTCACAAAATCATTGTTTACTGCTTATACAACTGACGGTGATACGTTGAAATTAATTTCAAAAGGGTTATCTCTTAATAAGAGTCAAGAATTTAAATCTTTAGACCAAGCCACTTATGAATCAAAAGGTGACAATAAATATCATGCAGTTGTTCAAGTTACCATGAAAAATGCACTCGGAACACACGTAGAAAATTATCAATTTACAATTGAAAAACAAAAGCAGTCATATTTTGCGACTGACTTTAAACACACTTTACCTGAAGGTAAGAAAGAATAGGAGAAATCAAATTGAAAGAGATACTAATTAATCATATCAGCGTTACTTATGGTGCGATTGGATTGACAGGCTTTTGGAACTTTTTCCAAGAAAATGCAAAATATGTCATTTTTGCAGGAGGGATTTATTTTGCAGGTAAAGAATGGCAAAAGAAGGCAACAGGTAAAATGATAATGATGATTGTTGTTGCAGCGGTTTTGTTTGTTCTCACACTAGACCCTCAAACGGTTTTACAACCAGTTGGTCAAAAACTATTTGAAATGATTGGTGCTAAATAAAAAGGAGTTATGATTGTCAAAAGAAAATAAAAAAGGACTGAAATATTCTAATAAAAGTTCACTTTCTCAACCATTAAGAATCCAAAAACTTTTTGAAGGATGGTCGCTAGGTAAGGCTTGGCGGTTGTCCTTTTTTATTTACTTTGGATTGATTGGTTTTGCTTTGTGGAAACTTTTATTTTCAAAATTTACTGTTTTTCCTGTTGGTTTTCGATTAATGGTGCTAGGGATAATTTGCTATAAAAGTGCATTATTTATCTCTGAAATTCGTCCTGACGATAAGACACCACCTGTTTATTTTAAAGATATGATTGTCTTTTTATTTAACTTTGGATTTGCAGGTAAGAGCATATATAAGGGATGGATTCATCCATTAAGAAAAGGAAAAGAGGAATTAGAAGAAAAATGAAGAAAAAAGCAATATGGGAAAATCACGTATTATCGGTGCATGATAATTTAGTTTTAAAAGATGATGGCACAGTATTTGCAATGTTTGAAGTGCCTGCGTCTATTATCTCAATGATGGATAATAAAGGAAAAGAGGCACACAAACAAGCGACACAAGCAGTCATTACCAGTTTATACGAAAATTTAGGCTTTGAAATTTTAGTGAAGCCACTTTCAAAAGATTTACTTAAATCATATGAAATATTATTAAAAGATTGCGACCCTAGAACTCGTGAATTTGGAGAGTATCTATTAGAGCAGTCTTATTCAGAATTAATGAATGAATTAGGAAACTTACATCATTATAAATTCTTTTTAACTGTTCCTTTGAGTGATTTCTCATTTTCAGGTGATTTAAGAAAAATGATGAAAGAAGGCTGGCAACGTTTCAGAAAATCTGTTGTAAATTTGATTCGTAGAGAATTAGAATTCAATCTTAATTGGTATGAATCCTATAAACAAACGGCTTCAGATTTAGAAATGAATTTAAATTTACTTCAGGCTCGCCCTTTGAAGAGAGAAGAAACGCTCCTTTATAATTCACTTAATTATTTACGTGGTATTGAAGTCAATAAAGATGAAGTGTTAGCTGATGTTAAAAATGCCATTGAAAATATGGATGATACAACGATAGATGTTCGCTCCGATGGACTATTAGAAATTCATCATCCACAAGGAAGTAGCCTATTAAAATTCTTACCATTGGCTGATTATCCAGAAGTGGTTAATAATATTCATCTTATCGAACACTTGCAAACTTTACCATTTCCAGTTGAATTTCGTATCAAGGCTCGATTTAGAAAAAATAAAGGGGCTTTAGGAATGGAAGCTACCGCAGAGAGAAATCGAGATAGAATTGGTACGGAACTTTCAGAAGCAGATGAAAAAGGAAATGTGACAAAATCTTCATCTGTTGGTGCGTATATGATTCTTGAAGATATTATTTCTGGGGTAGATAATGGGGAATATTTCCTAGACTTCTTACCTGTTTTTGCGATTACTGGTTCAACTCCTGAAGAAATTAATTATTATAAGAAGATGTTAATGACTGCCATGGAAAGTTTAGGAGTTAAAATTGTTCCTAGTCAATGGGATCAGCCTTATCTTTTTTATAAAATGCGTTCAACTGAAGAATTGACACGTTCAGACAGATATTGGGTTCAAAATATGAAAGTGTCTGCTTTTGTTGAAAACTTGTTTTTTGTCAGTCAAAAAGTGGGTTCAGATATTGGATTTTACTTTGGACGTGTTGACCATACCACTTTAAATTGGGCAGGAAACTATGAAAAGGCAATTGCAAGTTCACCTACTCCGTTTTTCTGGAATATGTTTCAAGCCAATAAAGAAGATATTGAAGGGAAATTAGGAGATAGTCCTCATGTGGGTATTTTTGGTGATACAGGTTCAGGTAAATCTTTCTTCGCAAAACTTGCATTTGTTTATCATTCTATCTTAAAAGGGTTGAGCCTTTATATTGACCCTAAAGATGAGATGAAATCACAGTTTTTATATGTGAGGGATAAATTAGAATCTTATTTGCCAGAAATGGAAGAAAAAATAGCGGATTTAGTCGCTCTTATTGAAGATGATGAAATTTTGGAACGAAGAATTAGAAATCTAGAGTTTGCTTATCATAAGCCTTTGATTGATTATATTAATCATATTCATTTTGTCAGTCTAAATACAAAAGATAAAAAGAATATTGGGGCATTAGACCCTATTGTATTTTTGGAAAGTGAACAAGCAAAAGAACTTTCTACACAAGTTACTGAAGGGCTGATTGGTACAAAATTGACTGAAGATGATAGATTTGAAAACTCATTTAACTATCATTTACAACAAGTCATTGAAAGAAGAGCAAAAGGTGAAACTGTTGGATTGCTTAATGTTTTTAAAGAAATGGCAAAATCAAAAGAAGAACTTATTAAAGACCGTTCGGAAAATATCCTTTCAAAAATATCAGGTACAATGCTAGAACTTGTCTTTTCAGAAGGTAAAAATCCGTCAGTTAGTATGGACGACCACATCACCGTTTTAGGGGTTACAGGACTTAATCTAGCTAAATCAGGTGAAGTAAAAACAGCTCAAAATAAAATGTCAGATATTATCATGTATGCGTTAGGTGATTTTTGTCGATTCTTTGGTGCAAGAAATCGAGACCAAGAAACGGTTATTTTCCTTGATGAAGGTTGGTTCTTTAATACAACGGATATTGGAAAAGGTATTTTAATGCGGATGAAGCGTGTTGGACGTTCGGAAAATAATTTCTTGGCTTTGATTACTCAAAGTGTAAAAGATGGTTCATCTGATGAAGATGATACAGCTTTTGGAACAATTTTTGCTTTTAAAGAAACTGGAAATACAAAGGCAGTTCTTCAAGCATTTGGTTTACCTGATGATGACGAAGATGTGATAACTTGGTATGAAAATCAAACTAAAGGTCAAGCCCTTGCTAAAGACCCTTTCGGTCGGATTGGTCGTGTTGTAATTCATGGTCAAAATTCAGCATTGAATGAATGCTTTAAAACAACGTTTAGTGAAATGGAATCAGCAAAGGCGGTGGCATAGTGAAAAAGAAAATGTTGTTATTTGTAGGGCTATTAGCATTTTTTATGCCTTCAGCCCTGCATACTTTTGCGGATACAGGCTTTACTCCGCCCTCTACTCCTGATTTTTCAGTTTCAGGTGATAAGAATAGTTCCAAAAATGATTCAAAGGATAAAACAGATTCATCTTCTAATTCATCAATAACTGACGGAACGATTAAACCACCAATTGATAATTTAGATGATTTTGGCTCGGATGATTCTCCAAGTAAAGTCATGACTGAAGCGGAAAGAAAAAAGGCAAGAGCAAATTTAGATAATTATACTTCTTATATGTATTTTGATGATGGAAAATTTCTAACAGGTTCAATGAATGCAGGAATGCAAACTTTTTTCATTCGTTCTCAATTTTTTGTTACAAAAACAATTTATCGTTTTGTGAATGCGGTCAATGAAAAGTTAAATAGTGATTCATTAATCACTCAATGGACAGCCCAATTGTTCGTGACAGTTCAAAATATTTATAATCAATTTTCTAACCCTCAACTTTATCCAATTATTGCGATAGCTGTTATTAGTAGTCTTTTATTTTACTGGTTTAAACGTCGCTTTTTTGAAGGGGTCAGAAAATTGGCGCTTGTGATGATACTGGTAGGTCTATTTATTAATGGTGGTCAAAAGTTAACTGAACAAGTTAATACTGCTTTAAATGATGTTACAACTACTTTGATGTCAACGGTTAAGGTGGCAGGTGTTTCTGCGAAAAATTCTAATGATTTAAAAACGACAATGGTTGAAGTTCCCTTTCTTTACCTTAATTTTGACAATGTGAAAATAAATGCGGATGGTTCATCTAATATCTCTGAAGATAACATTGTCAATCTCCTAACTTCAGGGGATGATAATGACAAGATAAAAGCGATTCAATCTGATTTAAAAGATTCACATTTGACCTCGAAAAAAATGGGTGAAAAAGTATTAACTGCTCTAGCAAGTATTTTCAATGCAATATTAGTCGGTTTTATTTACCTAGCTTTTGCGATAATGGCTTTTGTAATGAGAATGTTTTTCTTAATTCTCTTACTTTTACTGCCATTTGTGGGGATTCTTTCCTTATTTCCTGTCTTTGACGTAGTGATTTTAAGATGGGCAAAAGCAACAGGCGGGGCATTGATTGTTTCTAATGTAGTCGTTATTGGTACAGCTTTAATTAGTGTTTTAGATAGTATTGTTTCTTCTACAGTAACCTCAATGATTGGGAGTGATTATTTCTTTATCACCCTTATAAAATTCATTGTATATATTATCTTATTTAAGAAACGTCAAAAAATCTTAGATATTTTCAAAGCAGGACATCTTAGTGATAGTGGTTTTGCAGGTCGTATGGATAGCTTACTTTCAAATGTTCGCAGAAAAGGCTCAAATATGATTAAAGCTCCACTTTTGGCAGGTTCTTCAGCAGGACTGGTCGCAGGTTTAACTGCTGGTCAAATGGCAACTGGTAAAGCGAAAGAAATAGCTAAACAACGATTTACAGGTGGAACTGGTAGTTTGTGGCATGGTGGCTTGAATAAAAAAGCAGACCGTACCATGAATAAAACAGATAAAGCAAATCCTGATACTAAAAAAGGTCAAAAACTACAGGCTAAAGAAGAAAAAATCAAACAACGTTTGGAAAAACGCAAACAGAAATTTGAAAATCCTAATCTGCTAAAACGAAAAGTAGCTGACTATCGCAAACAGTATCAACAACGAAAAACTATGAATAACCCAAATCTTGCTCAAAAGATGGAACAAAAAAATAAAGAAAAAAATGCTTCGATTCAAGCTCTTTATGATAAAAATAAAACTCAACTTCAAGCAAGAGCAATTGAGCGTAGAATGCGTGAAGCTGTTCCTGACCAAGAAAAACCTAATCTATCAGAATTAGCTAAAAATAAGCAAAAAGCTTTAGCTAAAGAAAAGTTAGATAAAAGAGCAATGAAACAATCAGCAGGTAGAATGGCTGAAAGATTTGAAAAGGAAAAAGGCAGTCATAGTAGTTTTAAACGTAAACCAAACTATCCTTGGGATAATAATGATACCAATCAAAAACTTAACAATCCATTTGTGATTGATGAAAAATAGGGGGTGAAAATGAAAAAAGCAATTAAGCGGAAGGTTATATTAGTTAGCCTTCCTTTTTTGTTGCTTTTATTGCCAATATTAGCTTTCTTTTCATTATTTGTTGGTTCAAATTCTTCTTCAGATACAGATATTAATACCAATACACCACAGCAACAAACTGCAAAAGTGATTTGGGATAGAGTTCTAAAAGAAGGTGGAACAAAAGAAGGGGCTGCTGCTTTACTTGGTAATAATCAAGCAGAAAGTGAACTTCAACCTTCAATTATTCAATCTAATGCAACTTATAATGAAGCAAAAGCAATGGATACCACTTTAGGCGGTTATGCTTTCGGCTTGGCTCAATGGGATAGTGGCAGGCGAGTAAACTTACTTAACTATGCGAAAAGTCAGAAAAAATCTTGGACAGGTACTAATCTTCAAGTTGAGTTCATGTTTGAGCAAGACGGTACAGATTCAACGTTACTTAAACAATTAGTCAAAGGAACTAATGTTAAGCAAACGACTGAAGATATTATGCGAAAGTGGGAACGTGCAGGGGCGGTTGATAGCCTTTCAAAACGTCAAGGTTTTGCGGAATATTGGTACACGTTCATGACGACTGGTGGTGATAGTGGAACTGGTGGCGGTTCAGGAATTACTCCAGATATACCTTCAGGTTGGACTTTGGATAAGCCCATTGATACAAGTGGTTATCTTGCGACAAGTTATGAGTATAAACAATGTACGTGGTTTACATGGAATCGAGCCAAAGATTTCGGCATTACTTTTGGAATGTATATGGGAAATGGTGCTGACTGGCAACATCAAGCAGGATATACTGTAACGACATCTCCAACACTTCATAGTGCGGTTAGTTTTAGTGGCGGTCAAACGGTAGGTGGTCAATGGAACGCAGACCCTGTTTACGGTCACGTGGCTTTTGTAGAAGGAATACATTCAGACGGTTCAGTCTTAATTTCACAATCAGGAACTGGTTTTAGCACAGTATATACTTTCCAAGTTTTAACAAAAGCACAAGCCAGTCAATTGCATTATGTGATTGGAAAATAAATAATGTTCGGTATTAACTTAGTTTTCACGTTGAAAATACCAAGGTTTTGAAAGTTATTTCCGAACAATGGAAAGGAGAGAGTATGACCGAACTTGAAGAAGTTAGAGCAAGTGGGAAAATGTCAGAAAGGGTATTAGAGAATAATTTCAGACACTTTGACCACAGACTGCGAGAAATAGAAGGAGAATTAAAACTCTACCCTTATGCGACTTTATCTGAAGTTATAGTATGGGCTGAACAACTAAAAATAGCAATTGGGAAAATTAAAGCAATACAAGAAAGTAGTATTATAAAATCTAAAAAAGAATGGGGAATCTTAGAAGAAAAAATGTTGGGTTATTTGCAGATAGACAAAGCATTTATTCATGTATTTTCTGACCATGTTATTTTCCTTGTTCAATTGGAACAGCGGTATCGGCAAAGATTAAGTATTTTTGCGAACAATTTAGATAATAGTGTTCGCTATCTAAAAAGATATGCGGATGATTTAGAAAAGCAAGGATTTTCAATAAGTGGAATACTTGCTGAAAGTAGAAATTTAAGTGATATGAACTGGTTGAGCATCTTAAATTATTAATTAGAAGAGGTGGAAATGGAGTTTAAAAGATATAGAGCGACAAGAAAAAATCTTAAACTTTTAAGAAAAGTTTTAAATGAGCTTGGTTATAATAAATATGAAAACTATTCGACAGATGAAGCGTATCCTGTAGAACATGATATTAATAACTTAGACCTTGAATGCTTTAAAATAGAATGTTGGCACAGCATTTACTCGTTAGAAATAAATTATAGAATGCAGGAATTAGAAAAAGAATTATAAGACTATTTTGAGGGAGCAATAAAAAATCTTGCTCTTTTTTGTTATTCATTAAAGGAGAAGAAAAAATGGATCGTTACGAAAAATTTTTAAAAGAACATCAAGGAGAAATTCAAGAAATTTGTGATGAATTGTTAGATGAATTTGGGGAAGATTATGAAGGAGTTGAACGTATTTATTTTTTCTATAATACGGCTTGGAATGAAATTCAAATAAGTGCAAGAGGTCATGAGGAGATGACAGTAGCAATTTATCATAGTTCAAGAAAAAAATTTGAAATGTTAAAGAATTGAGGTAAAAATGGAACAACGAGAAATGGAGCGACTAGCGTGGCTAGATTTAAAGAGTAAAGGTTTTGTGATTGATAGTAGATGGGAAGGTGATGGAAGAACTTGGATAGGTTGTTATGCTATGCCAAAGGGGAAACCTCCTTTTTGGGCTGACGTATGGGATGAAAACTCAATACAAAAGGACGGTAACGACTATGCACAATGGTTTGAATGGTATTCAAGAGATTTGAATCAATTAGCTAAAGAGTATCCACAATAAGAGAAGAAAGGAAAAGAGCAGGAGAAATCTTGCTCTATTTTTTTGCGTTAGAAAGGTAATAAAATGGGAGATTTAGTAACAAGACAAGAACTTTGCATAAGATTCGGATTTTCACTAAGGACAATTACAAGAGATTTACAGGCTATGAGGTCAAATGAATACTTTAAAAAATATGTTGAAAAATTTGGTCATAGAACGGTGAGAATAAATCTTGCAGGCTATGAGGAATATTTACGTTATAAAGAAAAAGAGTATAAAAAAGCACTATGAAATGGTATAATATTTACCATACACGCTTTTTCTTACTTGATATTTTTATCAAAAATAGGAGAAAAGATGTTTTTTAAAAATTAGAAAATGGGAAATATAGATATTACGAGAAATTTTTTGATGAAAATTTAAAAAAATGGAGACAGGTTTCGGTTACCATGAACTCAAAAAGTCGTGTTTCTCAGTCAGAAGCTAAATTAAGATTAGTTGAGAAAATTAACTCTGCTCAAACAAAAAAAGAGATAAAAAATGAATCTATAACACTTTCATGTATTTTTGAAGATTGGCAAAAATAAGACAAGAAGAACTGAAGCCATCAACTTTATTTATTGAAAAGGCAGGGTTCAGTAAATTTTTGCAAAAATTTGGGTCAGAAGAAATATCAAATATTGAATCTTCACAAATCCAATCATTTCTTTTGAACTCTAACCTTTCATCAGCTAGTAGGAGATTAAGAAGAACACAATACAACTTATTTTTTACTTACGCTAAAAGCATAGGTTATATTGAAAAAAATCCAATGGAACGTGTCGTACTTCCTAAAGAAAAGAAAACTTTAGAAGATTTAAAGAGGAAACAAAATAAATTCTTAAATCTTGATGAAATGAGATTTATTCTTGAAAAGAATAGACCTTATGAAAGAGATGTTAGAAAATTGTTATTATACGAGTTTTTATTTCTGACAGGACTTCGTATTGGTGAAGCTTTAGGTTTGCAATGGGAAGATATAGATTTTGAGAAACAAACTTTAAGTGTGCAACATACTTTAAAACCACTTGGGTGTCTCTGAAAAGGAAAGAGAACTACAAACTCCTAAAACTGTAGAATCATATAGAACAATTACTTTAAATAATCGTTGTATCGAGATATTAAATTATTTTCGTACAAATTTAAAGGATGATTCTTTTGTTTTCGTAGATAAAAAAGGTGGAATATTCGGTTATGTTAATCTATCATCTCATTTCAAAAAAACTTGTTCAGTTTTAGGAAAAGAAACAGATGAAAGAAAATATACGTTACATATGCTTAGGCATTCTCATATTTCATTGTTGATAGAAATGGGTGTACCTATAAAAAGTATTATGGAACGAGTAGGTCATTCTAACGAGCAGATGATTTTAAGAATTTATAGTCATGTGACAAAGAAAATGAATGATGATTTAGCAGAAAAGATGAGAGATTTTGTTATTTGAAAAATTAACCAAAAACTAACCAAAATAAAGGCTTTTATTGACTTTTATTGGCTCTCATGAGAAGAAAGAATAAGGCTAAAAAGCCTTTATATAGCGCTCATTGACACTTATTGGCTTTCATAGGCTTACATGATG